TCAACATAATTGCCTTTTTAAGCCAATTTGGGGGGCTTATTTGCTCACACTTGGACATATCCACAAGAAGGGAAGCCAGGGGAAGTGGAATCATACCTTTCTTGACCACCCCCATTGACAAGTGCCCAAGACTCCTGTTGCGGCCTACTGGGGCCTTGATGGAGAGGCGGTTGATCTCCTTGCGACCTGGCCCTACAGGTGGACCTGGTTTGCAATTGCTTACCACAGCAAGCGAGCAAAGGGACATCACGAGCAAAGCCACAACATGGCGGGAGTCCCTCTCATAGATCCACGTGGCATGAGTCCCCGTTCCTCCGACCACCCTCAAAAGGGGTTAGCCTCGGACTGTCATGGAAACCGAGCCTGTGGCACACAGATGATGGTCCTCACCATGGCCTGGCGCTGGAGAGGCACCCAACCCTGGCACCAAACCCCTCCAAGACACACCAGCATCCTGCTACCTGCTGGAATCGGCTGAGCCTAGAGGACTATTAATGGACACCTCCCCCCATTCAGCAACACCTTACCTACTACACAGCATCTCTTTACACCTAAATCTGACTATTCCTCATGCTGCATCTCTGCATAAGAACACATAGGTGTAGTATTAAAGTGGTATAAGTGGTCAGCCGAGGTTTCCCCTCTTGAAATCAGCTTGTTACTGTTAAGACCTGCAGTGGTTATGGTACTGCGGTCTTCTATTCCTTTCCCAATAGCTGAGCATAAATGATTATAACTGCAGTTAGGAGGTAGAGGAATAGTGTAGATGAATGCAGCTTCCAAGACGTTTCTCCCCATCAAGTAGAATATTCATAGAAACATAGAAACATAGAGTGTGACGGCAGATAAGAACCATTCGGCCCATCTAGTCTGCCCAATTTTCTAAAAACTTTCATTAGTCCCTAGCCTTATCTTATAGTTAGGATAGCCTTATGCCTATCCCATGCATGTTTAAACTCCTTTACTGTGTTAACCTCTACCACTTTAGCTGGAAGGCTATTCCATGCATCCACTACCCTCTCAGTAAAGTAATACTTCCTGATATTATTTTAAACCTTTGTCCCTCTAATTTAAGACTATGTCCTCTTGTTGTGGTAGTTTTTCTTCTTTTAAATATAGTCTCCTCCTTTACTGTGTTGATTCCCTATATTTAAATGTTTCTATCATATCCCCCCTGTCTCGCCTTTCCTCCAAGCTATACATGTTAAGATCCTTTAACCTTTCCTGGTAAGTTTTATCCCGCAATCCATGAACCAGTTTAGTAGCCCTTCTCTGAACCCTCTCTAAGGTATCAATATCCTTCTGAAGATACGGTCTCCAGTACTGTGTACAATTCCCCAAGCATTAGCCTGGAATTCATGAAGGGTCTAACAGGAATGCATTTTATTGATGCCACACTGGCTTTTATGATAAATCCTCCTGCAAGAGGACCTCCCACAGTAAACAAAGGCAATAACCAATCAACATACAGATTTACAGTAACCCCCGCCCTCTCTCTGCCAGGGAGATATTGAGATAAGTTAAGGAATAACCCAATTATCTCCAGGCAGAGGGCACACAATTTTTTTACCAAAATTTAGAACATCCCTTTCCACACAAGGTATCCCCACAAATTAAATATCCCTGATAGCCCCGATCTGGGGGACCAACATATCCAAATTTCACCCAGATCGGTTCAGGGGTTCTTAAAAAGTATGGAAGTCACAAGTTACCGACCACACACGAGGCTTCTGCCCAAAACAGTTCCACGAATTCAGCATGTGCGGTCGGTCAATTCAGAAAAAGGCATAAAACTAATAAAAGTCCCAAATGGATCCTCCTGGCTCATAGGAGTGATTGCTCCCCTTTTCCGTATGAACAAAACTACCGAATGGCGCTCTCCTGGCTGTCCGGCAACTAAAGGAAGCAGGCGTTCGGTAGTTTCAGCAGTGGTTCGGGAGGTCGAGTGTCCGATTTTAGTTCCAGACACTCGATGACAAAGTCCCGCTGCCTCCTTTCGTGCAAACAAGATGGCCACCATTTTCTGTTCCACGTGGAATTCAGCTATACAAACAGCAACCACCCAGAGAGCGCTTAATGGATGGTTCTTTTGAAGTAAATGCGCCAGGAGGGTGGTTGGGGTTCGGTAGTTTTAAAATACCGAACTAATAGATCCAACATGCACAAAATACTGCAGAAAAGCCTGAACATAGGAGAAAATACGAACACTATTTTCTTCACAGTTACATATCACATGTTTCCTAAAGTGATTGCTATTGCTTACAATCTGTAACGTATGACCTACCTATACAGTCCTGGCAATCCACCTACCAGTGATAAACTCTATCAGGGCAGTAACTATACTCTCTGTTCATCAATGGTTAAAACTATACTCAATCCACCTGTTAATATAGCCTGATCCTTTTAAGCTATCACTATATCTAGTTATAACACTAGTTTGGCAAGCAGTATTATTATTGTTTTATTTACTCTCTTCGTTTTCTTATTATGTTCCTTCAGTAGCGTGAGGTCTACTCTCTCTCGTAAGTCAAGCCCCAATGGCACAAATAACCTGATTTCACTAAGTCAGCATAATACTAATTTTACTTACCTTAGTCTAGACAGTTTACCCTTGTGTAAGAATGTTATATTATCAACCTAGACGCATACCCATAGCCTGTTACCAAGCCTGAGATATACACTAAAACAAAAAAAAGAGATGTCTTTCTTGTTTGGAGTAATACACGTCTAACCCTGTATGTTGACCATGATGCCAAGCTGAATTGCTCTGAATTACTATTTTTCTCTTCTGTATAATGCTATCATCTCAATAAAAAGAAAGATTGACAAAACAAAAAGGACATGTAATTTCAAGGCTATATGTACGTACAAGACTGTGTGTGAGTGTAATGATATATTTTTGAGTGCTTCAGATATCTGAAAGCAGGATATATTTGTGTTTTGGAATTATTGTTAATATAGAGTTTTATTGTGTAGAATGCAAGTGTATATGAATGCAGGGGTGTATGTATGTGCTGATTTTGTTTGTAATGCTAAATGCCTGTTTTTGTTTTTGGACTCCTTGATCTCCTATATTCTGTGTTACTCTCCAAATGCCAACCATCCATGTCTCCTCATCCTCTACCACACCTGTTTATTACCTTATTCATCCACTTGTGTCTCTTTTCATCTTCCTCCACTTATTTATCAATTAATTATCTCCATCCTTGTGTCTCTGACCTATTTCCTCTCACTTGATATATGTATCCCATTCCCCCCACTCATATGCCTGATCATTTCCATCCACACAGAGCTTTTATCAGATCAGTGGTTAATGCTTTGGACATCTGTGGTACCTTGCATGGAGAGTTAGAAGGAAGGAAAAAATATGGTATGGGATACTAAAATTTCTATATTTACAATTGCAAAAATATTTTTATTAAGTTATTATTTTATTAAAATTTAGCATGTTTCATATTTTAGTATTGCCTATTTATTTAGATAGATAGATTAGACAGATAGATTAGATAGATAGATAAGATAGATGACAGATAGATAATTCTATAAAAAAAAGTAATAACTTTTTTTATTGGAATAGTTAAACAGAGACAAAAAGACAGGCATGCAAGCACATGAAAAAAATAATAATAAAAACAGACACCCAAATTATTGTTGAATTCTGTGTGCGCATGCTGAACTTTTTAGCACTGCAGCACATAATACTACTAAAGGTTTTAACATGAATACGAGGTAGAAATACAACCCAAAAAGTCTATACCTAAATGAGAAGAAAGGTTAAGTAATATTTTGCTGTTAGATATGCAATATTCATTTAATACAGTACATTTTATGGATAGTCAGTAAACATGAGGATGCCTATTATTTTATATTATGCATCATGTAAAATCTCATCTTTAATGATCAATATGTCTGATTTTAATTTTGCATTTGACTTGTTTTTTTCTCTTTTTGCTGTATGTTGCAAATTAGTCAAAATTATAATTGAATAAATATAGGCTCTGCTGTGGAGAATTATTTTGGTACTGCATTCCTGGGAAAGACTGCATGGCAAATCTAAGATGGCGACCGTGCCGCAAACTCCACAGCATCAAGAGGGCTCAGAGATCTAGTGGTGGAGAGAGCACTTCGAGGCACAGTTTAATCAGATCTGCCAGGCATTTTGGAAGTGCATATAATGTAGACCCCCATTCAAGTGCATACAATGCAGACCACCTGCTGAGAGGGAGGATGTGCCTGTTCCAGGTCTGGGCAGGGGCCCCATCCGAAGGTGCGCTCAACTCTCCCCCCATGCTTTTGGGCAAAGCTCTGAGATAGGAGACCTACCTCAACTTCACGTGGCCAAGCCGCAGCCTCCCAGGGCTATTCAGTGATCCGTCTCAGCCTGCCTCAACGCATCCCCCCAGAGTGACACAGCAAAAGAGACAGGCCAAACATCCAACACAGCAGTTAGGACTACTGACCCAGACAGCAGAGACACAAGCCTCTACAGCCCCAGCATGTCCAGCCTTCCCAGGTCACCTCTAACTTCAATCATGTGGGGCGCGAGATTGAGAAACTGTGGAGGAGTGATCCGGACGTGATCACCCTTACAGGGAAGACTTAGCTGCACTGTCTCGGGACTTGGGCTCGTTGGGTCGTCTTACCAGGCTGGCTGACAGCGAAGACAGTCCTCCATCCATAGACACTGGCTAGGTGCCTCATGACTATTAGTAGCAGCTAGAATGTTTTCTTGTAGCTCTTTCTGTGCACAATGACTATTCCTGCTAAGCTGTGCCCCTCTATCATAATGCTCCAGCTGCTTACCTGTAACACCTCTACCTGAACACCCAGTGGCTATTGTCTCATGCAACTATCTGCAGTTCTAAACAAAACATGGCAACAAAGAAACAAATTAAATGGTCCCTCTTTAAAAGTCTGCATAGTTAGTTCTTAATACTGTGTATTGCCCCCTTTAGCATCAATGACAGCGTGCAGTCTTTTGTAATAGTTGTCTATAAGGCCCCTAATTCTTGCATGTGGTATGGCTGCCCATTCATTTTGGCAAAATACCTCCAGGTCATACAAAGTCTATGGACGTCTTGCTTGAACCACACGTTTGAGATCTACCCAGAGTGGCTTGATGATAATAAAGTCAGGAGACTGTGATGGCCACTCCAGAACCTTCACATTTTTCTGCTGTAACTACTAGAGAGTAAACTTGGAATTGTGCTTAGGGTCTTTGTCATGCTGGAAAGTACAAGAGCATCCAATGCGCAGAATGCAAATTGTCTGCCAGTATTTTCTGATAACATGCTGCATTCATCTTGCCATCAATTTTCACAAGATTCCCAATGTCTTTAGAGCTCCCGTCCCCTCCTTCTCAAAAACATCAGTGAGCTACCACCAGCATGTGCTGCTAATCAAATGCATTTAATTAATTATGCAGCCACAGGACATGGGAACTTTGAGTCGACCATGAACTCCTCTGTATACAAAAGTATTCTAGAGTCAAACGTAAGGCCATCTGTCCGACAGCTAAAGCTTGGCTGGAACTGGGCGATACAATAGCACAATGATCCTAAGTACACCAACAAATCTACAGTAGAATGGCTGAAAAAATTTAGAAAATCAAGGTGTGTGGCAATGGTCCAGTGAAAGTCCAGACCTTAGCCCGATTAAAATGCTGTGGTGGGGCCTTAAGAGAGCTGTGCATTAACAAATGCCAGCAAATCTCAATTAACTGAAGCAACATTGTAAAGAAGGAACAGTTGATTGTTGTTATGTCCTGATATGTAAAACCATAGACTATAAAGAGGGTGCACTACTTTTTCTCACGGCAGTATATCACATAGTTTGGTTATGCCAGTTGTATAATATAGTTGACACAAATAACAATATGTTATTATTACTGGAACATGATGCATTGCTATATGTAAAAATACAAGTTGTGTAATACAGGAAATATTTCAATAATCAGCATTTCTGTCTCTCACTTAGGTGAACTAGCATTTAATCAATAAACATATAGATAGTATTACCACTATTTTGTGCATGCAATCTAGTTGCATAAGACAACTACTAGAGTATATGAGTAGTGGTTAAAGGGACACTCCACTTCCCAAACACAAAATAAATAAAAAAAAACTGTTTAGTAGAATACCTTGAATCAAAACTTGCATGCATTTAATTAGGCATTTTTTTATGTGGTGGTATATCAAAAACAGCTTGACAAATCTGTATTTCTCTTGTCTCCTGCCTTTGCAAGCCCTTACCTTCTTCCCTAGCCAGGATTTTCTATGGCTGTCCATTAACAGACTTTCAAAAGCAACTCAGTGAGAAGTCTTTGCAAAGCAGATGTTCTTGGCAATTGCTGCCTCTTGAGTTTACCTCCACTAAGCTAACCAAACCAGGAAGTAATACGACTCTTTGGCTGACTGACAGCCATGCGGTGTAACCAGATTATTTAATAAAAGTGTAAATTTCTATTGAAATCTGCACTTTTTGTATAACTGAAAAAAAGAGGACGCAATCTTCACACAAAGCTTTTCAGCAGGCTAAAATGATTTAGGAATCAGGAGTGTCCCTTTAAGAGCCACTTGTTGGTTTTCTCTTCTTTTTAAGCTATAGCTAACTTGTACTTTTTTCCAGTTTTTATTTTTATATTACTTTGTTTTATTTTTGTACCATTGTATAAAGAAAAAGTAAACTCTTGTGTGGGATACCTCTGTGAAGAATCACCCTCCATTCATTCGATTCATTCCCTCCCTGCTATTTTATTCGTTAAATGTATTTCCTTTACTGCTGGTTTATTCGGTATTTTCAATTCGTTATAATCCCTTGTTCGGTAAAATAGCTAACTATTTTACCGAACGAGGACCACCCTGGGTAGCAATTAGAACATAGAATCCTGTGTTATTACCTGAAACCGCAAGCTAATTGAGTGCTCCTAGGTGGCCGCCATTTCGGGACACGAACACGTGGCAAGAACAATGGATGGCGGCCATCTTAAACTCCAGAACGGCCGGCCAGCAGGACTTAGGCGTCGAGCGTCTGGAACTATTTTCGGCATGGCTTTCCAGCAATCCCCGGTCCCCCATGGAAGTCCCGTCTGACCCATTTTTACGAACTGTATCCGAATGGCGTTCGGGAGTTTCAATCTACCGAACGAGGGGAGCACTCTCAGGTAACCAGTTACATTACATGTATGGTAGATTTCGTGTAAATTGTCCCAAACAGAGACCAGCTCGCACCACTGATTTCATGGAACTCTGAGTCGGCTACAACCTCGTGGCGAGCCATTCAAACTTCCACACGGTATAACTCCAAAATTACCGAACGGATTCTCATGAAATTTGGATATGTTACTCCCATCACCATCAGCTACCCAGCTACCCATTATATTGATATATTGATATTTGTAAAGTATAGTTTTAAGAATTGTGAAAATTTTTACTTTTCTGTCCAGGTGATAATTGAGTTTGATAAGCTTCTCAAACCCAATTATCTAGCCTGGCCCAGAGGAGGAGTCTGTTACTGTATAAATTGAATGCCTGTTGCTTCCAGTAAATCAGTCTTGTTCCAGCATTAAGCTTTGGCTCATGTGTGGATTATTTGGCGATACCAGCGTTATTTTACCCTGTGGATTATTGTGATTATTCTGCTATTGGGGAAAAAGGGAATACTAGACAGTGATACAGATTGCAACCATCACAGCCTCATTAAATAGCTTTGAGGTAACATTTTGTTATCGTTAAATGACATCCTTAATAATATTGTAAAATGCTGCTGAATAAGTTATTGCTATATAAATGCAAATAATTATAATAATAATAGTAATAATAATAAATAACAACAAGCCTAACACAAATTCTAACAATGTTATTCAAAGATAAATACACTATTCATTTTATTTCAGTGGCTATTGATCTTTTTTTTTACCATTGTTTGAAGAAAAAATTTAGTAATGTGTAGAATGCCAAAGTTAATAGCTTCTAAGGAACAAGACTACCACAAACATAATTTATATAATGCAGGGAACTGATTAAAATTATAAACAAACAAAAAAGACTATTCATTAGATTGTAGGGGCCATTTAAGATTTAAAAAGTATAGATTTTTAAATAAATATTTTAAGTGGGAATAAATATATAAGTAGAAATCTTGTTGAATGTAATTTACACAGAATAATGTGATTTCTCTCATTTCATGTGACTCCTATTACTGTCATGGAAATTAGGCCACGTCTTAGGCCAGCTTTCGTTAATCATTAAAATTCTCACAAGTCAATATATTTTTTTTATGAATGGAAGTGAATTGTGTGTGAATTATAGTGTTGGAATGAAAGTTACTAAAGTCACTGAACACTCACAGATCAGAGGATTTTGACAGGAAAATATGCAATGCACCTTCATAAACAGTCTGTTGTACTTGTTAAACAAACATCCATTTATTTGCAATATTTACATAGCTATTAACTGAAATGGGAATTAAAGGTGAATTCAACTGGAATTTAAAATTTAAGGCCAAAGTAATGAAACTGGAAGCTAAGCTTACTTAAAGAAAACATTTAGTTTCTCTATTTTGGCCTTCAATTTGAAATCAATTTTTTAATTCTCGCTGTACAAAATAACATAACTGGAGCAGATTAATAACGTAAAACATGAAAACAAATAAAACATGTATATTCAATAATCTACTACACAGTGCTCTTAAATAAATGTCCCATAACAACTTTGCTGCAATTTTTACATTTTTTTTTAGGGGGGTCCTCCCCCCCCCTCCATTTTTTTTATTACTTTGACACGTATAATTCATTTTAAACATTTCTTTGTATCACAAAATAAAATGAGCCATAGTCAACGGTAGTATTTGTTATTTTAATTGGAATTATCAGCAGGTACTTCCAGTACTGGTTGTTTCCTTTATTAGTCATTAATGTTTCTACTGTTATTACTATAGAGGTTTTGAATTTACCTATTTTGTAGATTTTCATAATTCCACAATTTAGTACAATTGTTGTTTAATATGTTTTGTAAACAGAACAAAGCAAATGTATACAGTATATCTTGAAAGCTGAATTATGGTTTAGTCGAGCAAGCTAGCCTAAACCCAATTTAAAAAAAAAAAGTCTATTCTATAAAACACAAATGTTACAAAGTAATTTATGTGATCATAAAAAACTGAAATGTTAGTTTGAATCTGTATTTGCAGGGTTTGATTGTTATGCTGTAATTTAATCCAAAATGCAAAAAATGTATTATATGCATATTGATGTACAGAGATGTTTTGCTTACATATTGTAAAAAGTACTGAATGTTTTTAAAATATGACTAAAATGTATATGAATTTGTATAGATTTGTTTTTTTAGTATCTGTTGCAGTGGACTGATTCTGTTTAAACAATCTATTTGCATTGCGTAATATATATATATATAATATGAGTCCTATAAAGAGGCACATTGTGAAAAACTGCCACTAGATAATTTAATATGATAAGTGACATAAACTAGTTAGGTGAACAGAAACAACTAAGCACTGATATCATTTATAACAGTATGAAATATTTTTCTCTCTTCATGGAAGCTTTACTTCCTAAAGATAAACTTGTTAAGATCACAAAAAACAACGTTTAAACAGCATTGTCACTTAAAAAAATAAACAGTGTTTTAATTTACTAATATAAGACAGATTGTATGTTTTAAGGTATTCTATTATCATATTTTCTGTGAAATATCACTTTTGAACATTTCATAAATATATTGGTTCAACTTGTAAGATGTGATTTTTTTAATGCATGTAAATTCTATTTATTTTTTGCAACTTTTCAACATGTGCTTAAATATAGAGTACACAGGGGCGGACTGAGAACCCTCAGGGCCCCCGGGCAAAATAAATCAAGGGCCCCCTTACAGGCCCCACCCATGCTCCGCAGCAAGCGCCACCCTTGTCCCACCTCCATGCACCGCCTCCAGCCACACCCTACACAATCTTTAGACACAAGGAACAAAAGTGCAATCATCCCTTTGAGGCCCCAGTAGAGACTACAATTGAGGGCTAATGGGCCATGGAGGGGGGTCTTTCTAGCAGAGGCTATCTCAGTGTCCTTTAGAGAGTGTGTTAGAAATAATCCCCTCCAGGCCCCATTAATAGGCTTGGAAGGGGGTCTTTCTAACGGAGGCCATCTCAGCGTCCATTAGATAGCCTCTGCTGGAAACAGTCGCCTCCAGGCCCCAGTAGAGACTACAACTGAGGGATAATGGGCCATGGAGGGGGGGTCATTCTAGCAGAGGCTATCTCAGTGTCCTTTAGAGAGTGTGTTAGAAAGAATCTCCTCCAGGCCCCATTAGAGACTACAATGGAGTCTAATGGGGCCTGAAGGGGGGTCTCTCCAACACTCTGGTTCCTATTCACAATATAGCAACACAACATAGCTCGCTGATCCCTAGGCCAAGTTGGCTCCTCTTACCTTAATTACTGTTGCTGGGCTTGCTGGAATTACAGTCTGTGGGCTTGCTGGAAGGCTGTGGACTTGCTGGCTGCGACTGACAGGCTGTGGCTTGCTGGCAGGCTGTGGGCTTCCTGGCTACTGCCGGCAGGCTGTGGGCTTGCTGGCAGCAGGTGGCAGGCTGTGGCTTGCTGGCTGCGGCTGGAAGGCTGTGGCTTGCTGGCTATAAGCCTGTGGCTTGCTGTAGGCCTGTGGGCTGGCTACTGGCCTGGCTGGCCTGTGGGCTGACTGGCTGGCCTGTGGGCTGGCTAACTGGTGGCCTGTGGGCTGGCTGGCCACTGGGGCACTTGTAGATTATTTAAAGAAATAATCCATGCACAATAACCACTACTGCTCTGTGTAGTGGTTATGGTGCCAGGAGGGCCGGGACCCCCTCCCAGAGTAAGTAGGCAAACCGTTTAAGAACAGTTTGACAACTTACCTGGGGACTGCTGGGATATGGGGCTGTCGTAGGGTATAGGAGCAGTGGTGCAATGTGTGAGGGGTGCAGTGTGTGTGAAAGGTTCAGTGTGTGTGGGGGATGTAGTGTGTGAATGTGTAGGGTATGTGGGGTAATGTGTGTAGCAATGTTAGTATGGGGGGCTGTGTGTGTGTGTGAGGCAATGTGTATGGTGTGTGTGGGGGCAGTGTGTGTGTGGGGGCAGTGTGTGAATGTGTATGGTGTGTGTGGGGGCAGTGTGTTTATGGGGCTAGAGTTGACTCTCGCGAGAGCCGTAATGTTGCTGTGGTAACCGTGGCAACGCTCTGTGCTAGTGCAAGAAGGACCCAGAGGAGATGCAGGCTGAGCTCCCGGGTCCTCTCTTTCTCCCTCCCCTGCTGGCTGACCGCACGGTGCCTGTGGACCGGGGATAGAGATCGGCCGGCAGGGAAGGGCAATTGCCCCGATGCCCCCCTGGATCCACCAGTGATATATACAGCCCCTCTGTGTGCCTTTTTGTCTCTCTCCTTGTGTCTCTCTCTCCTTTCTCCGTGTCTCTCTCTTCCACTGTTTGTTTCTCCCCCCTTTCCCTGTCTCTCTCTCGCCCACATATCTCTTCCTCTCTGTCTCTTTCTCCCCTTCCCCCATCTCTCTATTCCCCCTTTTCCTCCCCCTGTGTCTCATTCTTCCACCTCTGTCTCTTTCTCCCTCCTCCCCCTGTGTCTCTCTATTCTCCCACTGTCTCTTTCTCCCCTCTTCCCCTGCATCTATCTATCCCCCCTGCCATTTACCGACAGAAGTCAGAGGGGGCCGGCCACGTTCCACACTGGAGCCGCCGGGCTGGGTGGCAGCCTCGCCGGTCCGGCGGAACTCCTGTACTGTCACTAATGCTGAGGACTGAAGGAGGGAGGAGCATGTCTCTCTCTCATGCTCCTTTGCGGTTACCACAATTCCCAGCACAGCAAGCATCCTGTCAATTTTCGGGAATTGTATTTCAACATTTTAATGTCAAAATGTGCAATATGTTTAAAGTGAAATATCTGCATAAAATGTTGAAACATTCTCATTGCCAAGAATTTACTCACACAAAGACATGATGATGACAGAGATTATGCATATTAAAAATTGCTCTTGTGGGGTTTTGCTACAACTGGAAGCTAACTAAATGTAACCTGTGGACTTCACTGTGGATTACTAAATTGTCATATCAAGGGCATTGCATATGTCTTCTAAAGGTGGTTTGCTGGTTTACTCTGTATTTTCAATTCGTTATAATCCCTTGTTCGGTAAAATAGCTATTTTACCGAACAAGGACCACTCTGGGTAGCAATTAGAACATAGAATCCTGTGTTATTACCTGAAACCGCAAGCTGATTGAGTGCTCCTGGGTGGCCGCCATCTTGGGACACGAACACGTGGCAAGAACAATGGTTGGCGGCCATGGTTGGCGGCCATCTTAAACTCCC